AACTGAACTTTAGTGAGCTTACAGGCTCTCAGATACGTAAATGCCTAGTCCCAAAGCAGTATCACTCTGACGAACAAACTTGCCTCCAAGTTAGCCTCTGTTTTCAAAGGGCTTTATTACTAAAAGTATGAATCTTTGGAAATTGGGTTTGGGAAAGATGTAGGAGGATGAGGAGGAAAGATCCACAGCATAATGCATCTTGAATTCTTCTGGGGTGTGGAGATGCTGGCCTGCCACAGCACCAGAGGGAGCACTGCATCCAGCTCTGGAGTCAGCACAGGCAAGAAACAGTTGGAGCGGGTCCAGAGGAGGCCACAAAGATGATCAGAGGGCTGGAGCACCTCCCATACAAGGACAGGCTGAGAGAGTTGGGGTTGTTCAGCCTGGAGAAGAGATGGCTCTGGGGAGACCTAATAGCAGCTTCCAGTACTTGAAGGGGGCTACAGGAGAGATGGGGAGGCACACTTGATCAGGGAGTGTATGATAGGACAAGGGGTAACAGTTTTAAGCTGAAAGAGAGTAGGTTTAGATGAGATACAAGTAAGAAATTTTTTCATGTGAGGGTGGTGAGGCAGTGGCCCAGGTTGCCCAGAGAAGCTGTGGATGCCCCATCCCTGGAGGTGTTCAAGGCCAGGCTGGATGAGGCTTTGAGCAACCTGCTCTAGTGGGAGGTGTCCCTGCCTGGGGGAGGGGGGTTGGAACTGGATGATCTTCAAGGTACCTTCCAACCCAAACCATTTTGCGATTCTATGATGATATGACAAACTAGTCTCTCAGAAGGATTAAGATACAGGGACTCTGCTCATTATCAGAGGTGTTCGCTTGTAACTTTCTCCCTCTGTTTCTTTCTTTCTCTCTCTGGAGAGAATGCCTTTGCTTCACTTTTTTTTCTGTTCCCTTTCTTCCTGGTAATATCTATGCTCCCTCTCCCCTAACAATTTACCAAGCAAGGGCTCTGCTGCAGACACCACTGCTGTAATGACAATGGTAACCAGTCATATTTGCATAATATCCATCACCCCATGGCCTTTGCAAGCTTTGCAAAGCTTCCAAGCATCATTTGCATTTTTCAGTTAGAGATACTGACCTGTAAGAAACTGAAGTTGATTTATTCAAAATCTACAGCCTGCAGAGGTCATGTTTATATACTCCTAACATTTTTCTGGCCTTAAGATTTATATTTCTATTTCTGTGCAGGCCAGACAATGAATTGGCAGCAAAGCTAGCCCTGCTTCTGCAGTCTTGCACTTTTCATGATATTCTTCACCTTTGTTCTGTTTCGGACGTTGGAAGTGATGGCAGTTGGGAAACATGGTATTTTCTGTCAAGTCAGTGAGCCGAACCATGGCAAGGTTTTGTCAGCCAGCCCTACTGTGTTGCATGTTCAGATCTGGCAGCTCTTTATTGTCCCCCTCCCTGTACAGAGACGGACTATTACTCCTTTACCGCTTAGTGGCCTCCAGCTCACCCAAAGCAGATGCTGGCAGCTGGCAGGTATTGGAAAACAGGCGTTTGTCCACCTTGATTGAAGGTCCTGCATTGGGTCCTCTGATCATCACAGTGTGGGGCTGTGAGCAGCAGGTGAGATGAAAGACAGCACCTGTGTTTAGCAGGCATCAGCCCATGGACAATTGTGTCCTCTGTGGAGTTAGGTGATATCTTGTAGGTTAGGTGAAGGGAGGCTTTGACTATTTCAGTGATGCTTGAACGATGGCCTTAGGCCCTGAACCAAACAGAGGTGCTTCAGTACTGTAAAGGCCAGGGAATAAATTGTGAACAGTGGGAACTGTTGCATTTCAAAGTTCATACAGTGCTAAGAACAGTACTGGGACTCGAGTAGAGTAGGTATGAGAGTAATAAAATGGACAATTAAATTGGTCTTGTTAGAAGATATGCTCCTGCTTTCACATGTCAGTCCTGCGCCTCGTGCTCCCAATGCTTGTTACTCATCTTGAAAAATTTCAGTACAAAACTCCCATGTTGCAGCTGAACAAAATTGCTTCAGATCGTTGAGAATTTCCCTGCCTGATCATTACACAGGGACAAGACAGAGCCCTTAGGATGCTCATCTTGGATTTATGCAGCAGTCTGTGGAAACCTGCTGTAGTCAGAGTGCTTGGAGTTGGTTTGTGCCTTTATGAAAGATGTGTGGAACAGTATGCAGGGCCCCACCAGGCAAAAACTACTGGCCAAGGAAGGTGTTTTAGTAGCCCTCTGGGATGGCTTCACACAGGAATATGGGGTGGGAGACCCCTCTCCCTGAGGAAGCTAAGCGGAAGGCACTAAGGGAGATGAGCCAAGTATTTCCAAGGAAAATGCTTTTAGAAGAATGAGTTGACAAACAGCTGGCCTAACATTTTGAGACATGAGCCACTGGTTGCACTTAATGTGAGGATATATTAGTTCAAGGTGCTGATTGTGACTGTTTCTATACCCAAGCCTTGAGTGTCGCGCATCTAGAGCCTTTCCTGGAGTCCTTCATGGCAGAAATCCTATGTGCCATGAAGACCTGCTCTCAGAAGAGAAGCAGCAACTGATTGTTGCATGCTTTTCCTA